ATCGTCTTCTTGTACGAGAATTGTTAGCAATTAAACAAAAACCAACAGTAAAAATCACACTAGACGGTGACAAGATCGAATGACCAAGGAAATGGCATCGAGATGAACAAAAGCTTTTATTTGCCCCAGCAATGTTTCAAGAAGATATTAAGAATCACATTCCTATCTGTCTATAAGAACAATAGCAGAACAATTAGTTTTATACCATAAAATCTTGACAATGGAGATATATTCTTCGAAGCGTCGATTCAAATTATACGAATATTTAAACTGTTTCTCTCTTTTAATTTGCACATGAGTACACAAACGGTCACTAAATAGAGATTTCCGAAGCGGAAAGAGGGTGCAGGTGTATGCTTTTTCTACACTTCATACTGACGCACACAGACACACACACACACACACGCTGAAAAGGATCTATTGACACGCTCCAACGTTTTTTTTGTTACAATAAAAGATGACTCATTGCAGTTTTGAGTATGAGTATAGATGTCGATATTCAACTCCCTTGCATTAATACAACGCATCCATACATCTTTTATATTGTGATCGTCTCATAAATTCATTCGAATTTAGCTTTCTCGATCTCTTGCAAAATTATTTTTCATATCATGCAGATTTATTAGATACAAAAATAATAATAATTCGGTATTGTACCGCATGGAGTTCAAGAACAATATAATTTCGTTAAATAGAACAGGATAAAAATTAATCAGCTGAAATATTAGAAAAACCAAGGAAATCGAATGAAATTCTAAGTCTACACAATATAAGGAATAGTTATATTTGTCGGTGCTCAACAATTAATTTGATTGGAACATCAGGTCGCATGATAGCTTCGAAGCATAGTTCTAGTTCATCGATAGTCTGCGTAGCACGAAATGTGTAGCGTCGAAGCAATGTTGATAGAATAGTCTTTTCTTCAAGTTGAGCAAAACGTTGACCTAAAACAAGTATTACCATCGATGGTCATTACTGATGAAATTCAAACAAAGTGGGAAAGATAAATGAACTAACCAATACAGTTGCGGGATCCAGCTGAGAATGGAACGAAGGCGTATGGTGAACGTTCCTCGCTCACCTCTGTGCTTTCATAAAAACGATTGGGATCAAACCGTTCCGGTTGAGGAAACACATTTGGGTCATGATGAACACCATAAATGAATATATACATGGTAGTTCCCTTTCGAATTATTTGACCATCTATAAAAAGTGAAAACAATACTATCCCAGTTATACTTAATCTTAAGCAGTGCGGACATATAATCATCTCCCCAAATAGAATTCTTCCTACTTACTGCAAACAAAATCTTCTTGAATCTCACGTATAACGGCTGGAACTGGTGGCAGCAAGCGCATAGATTCCTTATTTTATATAAAGTAGATCCTCAAATGTATACTGACATTTTCGGTTAACTCACTTTGATGACAGCATCAAGATAGATCATTCGCTGTGCATCGTCCATTGTGCAAGGTCTCTCTCTGTCATCTATATATAATAATCATATGTTAGATTTTAGATGATTGTTAGACAGTACAAGATAAATAGATACCAGAAAAGATAGCATCCATCTCGGCATGAACTTTTGCTTGAACGTCTGGATGAGACCCAATTAAATAGCACGCAAAATTCACAGCAGCTGCCGTTGTATCATGTCCCTTGTTTGATTCATAGTTAAAGTATGAAAAGAAAGGACATGAAAACATACTTCGAACATGAATGTATCGACTTCTTCTTGAATATCGTCTAATGAGAGTTGTTCTGACTTCATTTGAGCAAGGAGGCTATCAAGAAAGACTAGACGCCGAGTGCCCTTCTTGTCATTGACACTATTTGTATGCTCAGCATTAAACGTAGCGATACGATCTGCAATAATCTATTAATCAAAACAAAGTAGGATGAGATAACTAACAACAAGATCGCAGAGAAATACCTTACGAGAGACATCATGTAGAACTTTCAGGTTTTTGGCTTGTTCACGACCCAACGGCACTCTATCGAATATCCAAACGGGCCACAGCCACGGGGATCGTATGCGCTGATTTATTATACCGCATACGCTAAGAAATTACTAGTAATGGTTTATCGACAAAAAAAGAATTCTTATCAGTCGAAGACAGCTTTTTGACTGACAGAAACCTTTTTTTTAGAAATAATGTTTAGTAAAGCAACTCATTTTTGTCATGATATGCATCGTGTTCAATTGCACTAATAATAATTTCCCTTTTTATCTACATGATTACACGACTGTTTTTCTACTCATCGTTTGTTTATTGTTATTAGTCAGTGATTCTCTGAATCATGAATAATCTATTTTATGTTCTCTTTCATTTCCATTCTATATGTTATTGTTCAATCATTGCAAGACGTTCGACAGATACAGAAATAAACTATAAATAGGATTTGGATTTCATCATTTTGGCTTACCGTCCCGTTGCTGTAACGAATGCATTCTTTCCTTCGCTTGATTGAGCGTCGACATGTTCGCCCATTGCCGTCTCTAGAATTTCAATCAGTTCATGAACATCTTTTTGGTCAATTTCATAGAAACTAACCAGCGATAATATCGAGTGTACATGACGATATGTATGGAAACATATCGAATGCTTTGCCTTTTTCTCCGGTTCGAATACATTCGTCAAGACGTCGAGCAAATAGACATGCTTGTTCATTGAATATAATCATAAAGTTGTGTAATAATTGAGTGTCATGAAATGCAGGCGTGATCAGACGACGACGAGTACGCCATTTGGCGTTGTTACTACGAAAAGAAAAAATGTGTAGCAGCATCTAGGGGAAAGCGGCAGACTTGAAATAGAAAAGTACGCCAAAGTACATCAAAGTACGTCAAAGTAGACTGCTTGAAGTAGTTCAAAGTAGGAACAAGTAGCTGAAGTAGCTTGAAGTAATCTCAAGTACTTCAGGTAGATCTGAAATTGAAAAGTACTTCAAACTAAACTACTTGAAGTAGCTTAAAGTAGCTTAAAGTAACTTGAAGTCCAAAAGTCTGCTGTTTCCCCCTAGAGCAGCATTCAAAAATTTCATATTTACCTGGTCAGTAGACCTGTCTTTAGCCAAGGTTCAAGAAACGTATAGTCGAATGATTTGACAAGTTGTTTGCTATTGTTGATAAAGGTCTAAAATCAATAGATAGAACTGTATCAAAACTATTTAGTAGTATATTATTACTGCAAGATTTTGTCCTGTACATGCAAATATCATTGGCCACACAGAATACCAGAGACAGAAACAACCTTGTTCTTGTTGTTGCTGACATAATTTTGCCAAACGCACGAGGAGGCTAGAGAAAACATGTGATCGTTTATCAAATTGGTGAATATTGCCAACGAATGGGACACGTGAAATAGGAAGATATGTAATATTACGATAGTCTCGTCTCAATCTAATGTGTTTCATCCAAACTGGCACCAAATAATAGACAATAAAAAGAAAAAATATGATCGATATAATCGACGAGGCTAAAAACACCATGGTGATTGTCAATATGTTTCAGTCGACGAATATAATATGAATGTATGTTTCAAAAATGTTTATCAAGATATTAGAAAAAGAAAAAAAAGGAGAACGAAAAGCACGAATATAGCTTACAAATAAATATGAATCTAGGCAAACAGCCCGAGCACGTGTACTTTTCTCTCTCGTTTTTGTGCGGAGTTAGTATTTAGTTTGTCTTGTTTTTGTGTTCGAGAAAAAGATTCATTTGAAGATTGCTACGAATAGAATAAAAATGATCCTATTTATAGTTGTTTGGCGTGAAGCTGTCAAAATTATAAATCTGATATGAAAACATTCGACTAAATGAACTTATAGTATATAAATCACTTTTCACCGCAGAATCATAGTAAACAAACAATTTTTCTTCCAGTTCATTGCAAGATGATAAATATTTGCTTTGAGATTCAAAATCAAATTTGAGTTACAAAAAAACATGATATATATTCTCTCTGCTGAAAGAAAGGCCATTTGAGATAAACTGCTTTACATGCTTGCGTATTGGCACACGTCAGGTCACATGTTTGCATGTATTTGTATAATTCATAAAATTTGATCAAAAGTAATCGAGATCGAGACCGAGAGTTCCAACTCTGTTATTGGTTCTTCGAAATTTTCAATTTGATTTAAGTCCAAGGACTTGCAACGATAGTTAGACGATCATTCTTTGAATATTTTCTGATTTACTCATTGAATTCTGGATTTTTTTATTTTCGACATAGGTTTTTTGATTCTACTCCACCTCCCCATCCCCGTTACAGACATTAATGAGTTTAAAATTGTGCTAAGTAGGAGCTTCACTAATTATGCTGCTATTTCTTTCTTTTTTAATTACGACTACACGAAAAAAGTAATACTTGCCCATTACAGACCATAGTAACTAGTTTAGGGTATCATTACAGACATAAGTAAATAGGCAATGACCTAATTATAGGTTTTGGAAATCAAGGTAGATTTTTCAGACGAACTATTTTGAATTACTTCGGTAAGCCTAAGAGATATATGTGAGTTCCATATTTTAGCCCCCAAAGGGGCTGTGCTAACACACTTTTTCTATGAACTTTAAATTCATTTATCGACTAAGAAGTTCTTGATTATGTTGCAATACACTACAGTCTCATAGACTGCTTACATCTTTCATGATCTCAATAATATAGTGTTAGGGTTCTCGCTCACAGAGAGCGACGAACACTTTAAACGTGTGTGTTTTATTATCTCTCTGTTTATTGTGTTAGAAAACAAACGTTTATATACGCACGCGAAAACAAGGACAAGAAAAATAGAGAAAAACGAAAAGACAAAAGAAAAGCAATAGATCGAATCGATGTATATATGTTATAGTAGAATACAGCCTAACATATAGAATTCGATTAAGTCTGTTTTTTTGCATTTATCTTGTTTGTTGTCAGTGATCAATCAGTGTTTAGCAATTTAGTTCAATGATAAAGATTTCGTATTCACTATTTGAATTCTTTCTTGTACAAATCTGATGGTAGAACAAATACCACAAATGTTATCGTCGACGGAATGAATGAAATGAAAGGTCCCATCAAATAAAACCACGAATCATGAGTCGATTTCATACATCCGAATAAAAATGAAATATTTAGACGAGGTAACGCTAATATAATGAGAATAAATGGAGAGATTAACAAATGTTTATCCACGGCGATTTGTTTATAAAGATTTTGTTTGAACGAAATTTTCTCGTGTGACTTTGCACGTATATAAGCTGTATTATAAATAATAACTAATGCCGATATAAAATTCATTGCAAATGGAATACAGAAATGAAAAATATTTATCACTACATCAAATATTCCTACCGATGGAGAATAATTAGTGACACACCATGTACGTTGCTCTTCCTCATCATCAATAAGACGACGATACATTGGATCATAAATAAGTGTAGAAATATTACCAATAAAAACAAATAAAATAATCCCCTTGGCTATTTGAATACTCTTTGTTTTATTAAAATGAATTTCTTGTCTAACATTTACAGCACGTTCAATGCCTACAGAAGCAGTGAGCCATTCACCAGCATTGAGAAAAAGTCGAAGACTAAATTCAAAAAATGTGCATTGTGTGTTTAAAAACGAACGATGACCAATCCAACCGATTTTTGATGCTAAGAGAAACCAGAACTTGATTTTGAATATCAACATAGTTGCAAAGGATGCGATGGATGTAGCCAAAAGATAGAGACCACAACCAACATTTTGTGTTTGCTTTCTTCGAAAAGTTTGAAAGCAGAGAAAAGCATTAACGATACCAAAAACATACATAATTGTTGTTAAGACAATAGCAAGTTTAAGAATCTTCGGCTGATAATAAAGAGAAGTTTTTGTTTTTATTTGATAACCTAATATGATATCTAATGAAAGTGTTGATCCTTCAGTAGAAAATTGGCATCGTGATCCGAAATAACATTGACGACAAACACAAAATGAGGATGTTGGACAATTACGATTATCAACAAAACAGAAACCGCCATTTTTACAGAAATTGTATCCTGTGCAGGTGTACGTCATGTTATGGTCAAATGGGAAACAATTCGATTGATAATCAAGGTTACATAGGCAGATATAATAATTATCATGGAAACACATTAAATTAAAGGATTGTTCACATGGTACATGATACCGTTTGATCCGTTTTAATATATGTTGAGTAGCAAAAGTTTCATTGAATATTTCATTAATTGATGGGCATCGATTCGAAGGAACTATTTGTGTAGAAATATGTTCTGAAACAGTCCCATGTTCTTGAAGAATAATTAGATAGTAGTTAGTTGAAATTTGCGTTAAAGCCAGATTAAAAGAAAATGAAGTGTTTAGAACGAGTGAATCTTGATCAAATGCTAGTTTTCTTCATGATACTCATACGATTTAATTCAAGACCAATGCTTCCAGGTGGAAAAGTAATCAAATGAAGGAGTATCGATGGTGGAATCGCTATTCTTGGATGGAACGATACATCGATGCGAGTTTGTCCTTAGTAGGTTCTCACAATGTGCTCCCATATATCCTGGTGGACAAATACATATTGCATTTTTTTGACTGCCTGTACCTAAACTAGGATCCCATGGTAAACATTGTCGGTTGTTCAAACATGGGTTAGAATCACACAAAGTATGACGAAGATAACAACGAGCACCAAATCGACCCAATCGGCATAAACAAATGGAATCGCTAATACAAATTGAATTTTGGTGCACAATTACAAGTATGTTTAACATTGCACTGAATACCTGACCAACCCGCGTGACAACGACAAAGTGTTGAATTTGGATTATTAATATAATTGAAACATTGACCATGAATGTATGGAGATCGACATGTTTGAATAGGTTGCACATTATCAAATGGAACTTTCAATACTGCAGCTGGATGATACACAGGAAGAAAAGGAAATTTAATTGAAAATATCCAACTAGCTCGATAATTTAATGTCATTTGATTGTATGCATAGATTTGTACGGAATAGTTTTTCGATACATTTTTTGGTCGACTTGAATATAATAAATATAGATTAAATTTATCGTGACAATATCTCGACGGTAAATATTCAGTAGTATCATGAAATTCAATATTTCCTTCGTTATCGATTAGCGTAATTAGAAATACAAATACACTACGCCAGTCTCATGTTATTCGAATTCTAATCGTTAAACTCGCACGCTCATTTTAATATTCGCAAGTAGCTCCGTAATAACTCGGCAGACATAAACAATATAACTTTGGCACATTTACTTCCAATCAAACACGCAATAGGAATTCCTCTAATGCATGGCCATGCCGTAATCATTAGGCACACGTTTTGCTAACTTCTCTTTGACTAGACGAGGTTCTGCTCGGTCTGGTGATAGATTTGATGTATCATGTGACATTAACAGTGTTGGATAAGTAGGTAAATTAGATAATTTGAAATGCATAAATTTGTGACGTTTTAAAGTTGTAACAAATTGACAGAAATATTTCTAAAACATGGTTAACATAGAATTCAGAAAAATCACAAAACGTGGATAGGTATGGAGCTCGCCGTCTACAAAGAAAAGACATTTTCGTCATTATGGAATGGGTAGTCTGGATAATCATTACAAATTTTATTCGGAAAAATAGTTTTTGAATCATTCCAACAGCGAAAATTATATCTAGCATCTTCATTACCGAAAATAGCGACATACATTACTCGTGCATCTGTTGTGCCAAGACAGTCAGAAATATTATCGCCAACTCGTGTAATAGGTAAACATGAAATTTTTGATGTGTCATTTGGAAATACACAAGAATGTTCAAGTGAAGGACAAGTCGAGGGAGGACAATTCACTTTATCAACTCCGTTTTTACATGATCATAATTGATCGCATCATGTATACGTATTATTACATGGCCATACTTGACAATCTGTCTCATCTGTTTCGTAATGACCATCGATTAATATTGAAGGAAAATCTTGTTTTCCATCACAAATGTTTTGAAACAGCATATTGATATTGATTTCAGATGGGGTTGTTCCAAATTCACCCCTTTCATCCTCGACATATTTGCAGTTTTTCTTTGGATCTTGATAAACCAACAACGCAAAACATTTGTCATGATCTTCATCGTAACATTTAAAACGATGGTTTCTATCGCTCAACGAACAACTTTGATTCCACGGCTCATCATCACCAATAGGACAAGCAACGAGATCATCGAGAAGGCGAGATTTTGAAATGCATTTTTTTGAGTTCTGACATTGATATACTGTTGAGCAATTACAATAATTGTTTTCATCAACAATCACTAAGCGTGCACGAAATTTTTCTCTAACAGCATTAACAATCTCTTCCAAATTTTCATAAGACCTAGTGTTGTCTAGCCCTAAATCATTAGAATAAAGACAAAACATACTACCAATGGATACGTTGTTAGGAAGATACTCGCTGCAGAGCTTTTGATCGTAGCAAATATACTCAGGAAGTGGAAATGGATCAGTTTCAATTGAGTGGCTCTTATACATTGATCGGACATGCCCATAGAGCACAGGAGCATAGCGAAATTCGTGACTTGCTTGACATTTTTCTTTTACACATTAATTTTGGACAAAATTTTTTACACCATTTGCGATCGACAAAACCCATGGTTATCATGGAGCAAGCAGTTACGTTTGAGCACAAATCAGGCAGCAAAAGACTGCTACGACCATTGTCACGTCTAATTATTCCATTCGTACATTGGCCATCTCCGCATGAAAATTGTACAATACCCGGTCGACACATGTGTTCTTCACATTGAAAGTTAAACTGCCCATGGCATTCTTTTTGATAGCCAGGAATAAAACTTTCATCTGTTTTATTCAAGCATTCGTATTGTATTGCACTGTCCTGAAGGAATTCAACGGGTATGTATTGACCATTATGGCATCGATACTCATCCTCAGCGCAATGGTTGATTTCTAATTTCCAACCATGTTTCTCATCTGACCCATCAAAACGGTCATGTTTTCTGTCACAAATGTCACGCCAATCCAAACAAGAAATTAGTGTGTCACATTTTAAGTGTTGAGATTGATAACATGCCACTTTGATATCTTGATATATGATTCCTTTACTTACAAAAATCCATCGAATTATATCATTGAAGGTTTCATCTATATTATAATCAAATGTAAAACGACAGAAAGGTCCTAACCATGGCGAAATACAATTGTAAGATAAAAGTTTATCGTCTACTAATGGGTTTGAATTCAAGTCTAGAAAGTTTTGATACTGTTCAGAAAAATCCAAAGAAGCCGACCATGAAAGAGTAATGTGGAACTACTTATATTCTTAGATTTCAATTCGAGAAAAGTAAACAGAGCATGATATATATTGGTTAAATCTAATGAGTCATAGTCTTTAGATACTCGAAGGCAATAGGAAATTTTCAGATGTAAGTTTGCAATAATATGTCTGTTTGCTCCTTCTTTATTATATTGAAAGTATGAAAGACAAAATCGATCATGATGATTACCTGTGTTATACATATTGAACTGATAAAGAGGCAAGGCTTGTGTCTGCCATATAAACAACATGCTCAATAGTAGCATACTATTGAATAAAAGAAAAGAAAAACGATTGTACTTTTACTTCTTTGTTGTAACTTGACAAATATTGCAACTAATAGAAAATATTTCTACATCACATGTTAATAAGTCTCGATGGGTCACGTATTGTAACCAATATACGAGGGTGTGGGTGTGGGTGTGGGTGTGAGTAATGGTGTGCGTAAAGAGAAAACCAACGCTCTCACCCACCCGTGTAGGCGTAGATCCATCGTGCAAATCCCATGCAACTGATGAAAATCTAGTGTAGGCCGGTTCGTCTGCCTCGAACACCAAGGTAGTCTACCCAGTGAAAAATATTCCCTGATTTTAATCGCAGTTTTGTGTAACAAAATCAAAATTAAAATCGGTTGACAATTTTGAGTGTGTGGGTGTGCACAGGGATTTTTCTCAAACTCACACCGACACGCGTAAAACGTGATAGTCGATAAGCTATAAGTATATGAGTTGTTCTTACAGCAACCACAGTGAGCCAATGGGACTATGAATAAACGTAGAAGATGGTTTTCCTCTTACGTATCATTATTGAATATCTTAAGAAGTTCACATATGGTGTGCTTACCATTTGACTTTTCATTCTTTAATGTTATTCCTGCATACTACGGCTATTAAATGGAAGCATATATCATCTAATTAAATAAAATTGTTTATACAAAATTATTTTCTTTTTCTTAAATTTCGTTTTCGTTGTTAAAAAAAATACAAATAAATAATATATTTGATCAAATAAAACAGGCAACGACAGTTGAATAGATAACTATTTTACTTTTTCAAAGAAAATTGATATTCTATTAAACACAAATTACAGTTTTTCTTTTGCTTTAAAATATGATACAATGAGACTAGTCACAAATTATTGAATGAGATTCATGTCCTGGCCAAATTAATCTTTCGAAAGTTAATTATATTATTCAACTATTTTACAAAAGAATAAGAAAATCTTAACTCGCTAGTAATAGCATGAAAGAAAAATTTTCTGTGATGTTAAATATATATATATCGAAAGATTGATGCATAAGTAAATCGATAACTGAACGTAAAATAGACAATACGAAGAAGGACAATTAAGCAAAGTTTCAGAGTACCGTATAGAGGGCAGTGGTCGAGACTAGAATTTTTTCCCCGGATTTTTTCAGTATGCATAAACTTTTATATATTCAAATAGAAACAGTTGCCCAAATCATTTATTTTCTATTTTCTCGCTTCTTGATTTCGATCAGTATCATTATTTTTGTGAAAAAGAAAAACGATGGATAATCTAAATTTTAATATTGAAATATTCAAAGATTATCGTTACAATTTAAGTATGTCTAGTTAAATTTATTCATTGATGAAACCTTTGTACACTTTTCCTCAACTTTATTTAGCGCCTGAAGGCAATTATTCATGTCCAATACATGGTTGCAACAGCTGCTTAGAACTCGCTAATGAGCAACAGTTCCCCACTAATAATCAAATTAAAATGTTTTGGTCTCATGTTCAATCTGTTCACTCCGATGAATTTGAAAATTTATTGAAGCAATTTTCCGAAAAAACATATATTCCTAAAGAAAGTAAAGTTAGTATTCCTTTTAATTTTATATCTTTTTTAGTGAGATGAAATTAAAAACTAACTGTTCTACATAGTAGAAGGGGACTCAAAAACTTTCTCTTTGATAAAGTAATACGTTAATCACCATTTCCCTCCTACATTACGTAATCAGTTTGGATCGTCTTTTCATTTAAAATCTATTGAATAATACTGTCGATTCGATTCAATAATCATATTTCTAGAAATTACAGAAAATAGAAAAATTCCGTGATTTATACTTGTAAATATGATAATATTATTTTGTTGGAATGCATGGAAAGATTAATTTCATTAGATAGAAAATATTAAGAAAGATAACGGCCTGTGACAATCTGTCGTTCAAAGTATCTATTTTATGAAGTTTTTGTCTGATTCAAATACTATACTAAGCTAAAATTAAGGATTCATATCACGGCAATGTCATAAGTAAGATGTTAGTTAGTAGGTGGAGTTTCTGTCCAAGAGTTCTAAAATAGATCAGATAATGATATAAACATATCTACAATCCTCTTGTTTAATCTTATTTAATTTTTCGTAGAAAAAATATATGTAATAAACCTTTTAGAATCTTAGGATATGAAACGATAGATTCCCATTTTTCGTTTCTCTCAATGTTTTGCCTGACCTCTAGATCGTAGAGTGGCTTTTTTTCTGTTTATTCGTATTGAGTCATTCATTGGTGGAAGGCAGATAAACTCATTTTACATTCTTTTCTTTCTCCTTTTGTTCTTGTCAAGAAAAACAAATTGACGTCTCTATTATTTTTCTGCCATTGATCGTTAGTGTCCTTCGATATTTTTGTGTCATCATCCAAGTTGTCACACAACATAACTTTATTTAAATAAGAATATCGTAAACGTAATCTGTAGAGCAGTTTACATGAAAATGGCTATCGAAGATAACAAAGTCTACTTTTATTTGTATTCTTAGTTGTTTTTTTGGTGTGCCGTAGAAAGACCGAAAGGAAAAATGTCGAAAGGGAAAAATATAGAAAATGACGAAAGGAAAAATGTCGAAAGAAAAATGTCGAAGGAAAAATATCGAAAGAAAAAATATCGAAAGGGAAAAATATCGAAAATTTGCACTAAGATGTTTTTATTCTTGAAATCATAATAGCATCATAGCATAGATCATAGATAAATAAGAGTTATAAAGAAAAATACACATATCCAATATTTACTAGTTGTTGCTGTTGTATTCAGTTTGAAAATATATTTATCTGATACAAGGAAAGGTTTTCCTTTTTACGACTGAATAAATGAAATAACTGGAGTTGGCGGATGATTCTCACCAGATAAAAATGAGCAAGCTGTAGTCATCATGATAAAATTTTAATCGTTGTATACTATTTTACGCCTATTTTAGCTAGTTTTCATAAGATATTACTTATCAATAGTATCAAGGGTTATCATTGTCAAACCAATGGAATAATCAGATCAACAACAATGAACAACAAACTATTAGAACCTTCATTTAGTAGACGTCGCTTTTTTTATCTTTTCTGTTTTCGACATTTTTCCTTTTCGATATTTTTCTTTCGGTGTTTTTCTTTCGGTATTTTTCCTTTCGATATTTTTCCTTTCGGCCTTTCTACGGCCAACCGTTTTTTTTGTTCAGATCCCTTTATATCGTTTGCAACCTGTTCGAGGGTATTTTTTTATTGTTTTGAAAATTTCATTTCTAATTCTTCAAATATCGTTATTTTATTTTCTAACGTTCTTTGTTAAAGTAAAAAGCTGTTCAGAAAGATCTCATGATTACAATTCTGAAATTTTTAACTAAATGATGTTTTGTCTTTGTTAATAAGTCGAATTTTTCTTCAAATGAATATGGTAGATTGAGGGTGTATAACTAAATTATTAATTGAAGAATAGAATCTTCTAATTTTTCTCAGTGCTCAAAAAAATATCTGCACCATTTGCTCTAATCATACTGAAACTATTTAGGGAAATTCTTGTTTAACGATATTTTCCATATGTTAGAGGAGTAATTTAAGCAACAAGATATTGCATTTCGCCAACAAAATCCGTCAAAGTGGCACTAAATCAGAAGGAGAGAAAATGATAGAACTCTATAAAAAATAGATGATATTTTTTTCAATCACTTATGCTTTATTTTCTAAAGATCGAGGGTTAGTTTATCTCTATCTAGTAAATTAACACAAAGTATGACCACATCTAAACAGAAGTCTCATATCTAATAGTTGAGCAGTGCTAGATTAAAACCCGTCCCCATATGTGTAATTTTGTCATGAATTGTATTTTATTAACAACTTTGAAATAGAAAGAATACTTGGATTAGCAAACAAATTTAAATAAATTGATACTTATCCGTCCAACCCATGTAGATGTTATAAGCATATGTATTCGATGTCAGATTTGATCATCGCCTCTAGGTGAGAAATTTTAGTTAGATTTTTTATTATTTGTATATTGATAGCCATATTAATGATATCGATAAGATTCGCAGTCAGTCGTAAAAATCAGGACTAAATGTTTATTTATCAAATAAGTCAAAGAATAAACATTTTAAATTTATCTAGATTTCATACGAATATTTTTCTGAAGAATTTTACTTAATCAAAAGTGAGAGAAAAGTATCCTAATTTGAACAGAATTGTAAGATAAAAAAAGTCAAATGACGATGCGATGCATTTTAACAGAATGTGCATTTGCCACTATCTTGCTTTCGAAATTGTTAAGAGTAAAATCTCAAAAGAATATTATGTGCGCTATCATTGAGTCTGTTTTTTTTAGAGAGTTGAGAGTTCTTTTTTGCTTGACAGGCAGAGTATACTTTATTTAGTAATATGAAAGTCAACAATGCACAGCGGAAGATTTCTAAAAATATTTTACACTATTGTGTATCAAAGAAGACTAGAGATATTCTGTTAAAAAATATAGTTTGATATTTCTTATGTTGACTGTTTTTATTTCTATTTTAGTTAGATCGTATTTCCGACTCAATAGACACGTCGAATGGAAGTATTACTAAAATTTTATTAAAATTAATGCCAAATTCCATCAATGATCAAAAACTTTTTCAGTGTATTTCTGAAGAACATCATAAACTACAACAAGAATTGAAAGAAATTTTGAATTCTTCAACAACACCCGTTCAACAACAACAAACAACTTTAGGCAGTCTTTAAGACTTTTGATTTAGTTCACATAGAGAGAGTCGTGTGTGTAGTATATTGTTAGTGTGAGTTAGGAGTGTCTTTTTTTTCTATATGAACAAGAATAAATAGGAATTTATTTTGATCACAAAAAGACTTTATTGACACAGACCATTAGTATTGGTGAAATATGGAGCTCTCATATATGTTTCAATTTTAGTAAACTGATACAAAATACTTACAAGGAAAAGCTCGTTTAGACTATACTTGCTTTCATAAATAATCGCTTATGAGGGCGAAAATCAATTATTCCCCTCTCAGTTTCGAACAGAAACTTTTAATTCTTTACTAAAAACACAAGCCAGACAACGTACTAAGAAAGTGCTCATTTGTTCATAGTCGATTTTGACCAACAGGCAGAACAGCATTATTTTCATTGACGGTAGCTGTTGCATTCAGTGTTTCGAATGATGAGTGCACCAAGTAAAATCAATGGGAGGGAGCCACGCACTTGTTTTGAGTTGCACTCTACTTTGTACTACACTGGAAAAAATAGAATGAACGTGCTGCACTCTGTTAAAAGATTTTTTACCTTGTTTTATATTTTAATTTATATTGATTGTTTCATCTTTACAATGAACTTTCTTATCTTTGATTCAAGCAAATAATATTTTCTCATTCTTTTTTCAGATAATGAGCAAAGAACAGTCATTCAGACACTCTCAAACATCATCTACAGAAAAGTTTTTAATTTAATCAACAAGATCATTATTTGAGGCTGTGGGTGTGGGTTTTATTATTCATGTAGCAAGCCAACACCCACACCCTGTGGGAGTAACTTGATAGCAATTTGTGAAAATTAAAATATTATCATTCATCTTTTACTTTTTATTAGGAAATATCAATCAATCAGTTTCTTTTACAACCACTTTGATAGAAACGTTAAGAAAAATGAACTTCTTCAGAACAAAATTGAGAGTCAGTCAAATTGAGAACGCACAACATATGGCTATCATATCTAGCCGAATCGATGTCGTATTAT